GCCAGACCCACTCCCGCCTCTCCCCGCCGCCGCTGCAGCCGCCACCCGCGCCCCCGACCCCGACCCCACTCGCCCGCGGGTCAGGGCCCTCGGGGCAGCCGGGCCGCTAGGCCGGGCCTCGCCGAGCCCAGAACCGCGGAGAAGGGCCGCTCGCTCTGAGAGGTCAAGGAGAGAACACCCACCCTGACAGCACGCGGGGAGTGCGCTGCTCCAAAGCGAGAGCCCCTTTCAGCCAGAGGGGCCGCTCTTCATTGTTAGGACTCTCTTCTCTGCCCCAACTGGAAAACTGTCTCCTCGAAGACCGAATGTCCTTTTTCCTGACTAATGAAACCCAATTGCGCTCAGAGCTTTTCCTTCTGAACCTCTCCGGAGTATTAATGTCTAGAGTTTTAAATCAGTTCTTCAAAGCACCAGAATTCTTGTTTCTGGAAAGCACCTGAAACACTAATGACAATTCCGATTTCCCATCCCCCACCCGCCAAGAATCCAATGGGAACGATGGTCTACACAGAGAGCCGGAAATTTGGTTAGTCAAGGAGGGAAAAACACCAAATGCCTGGCATTGAATAAGTGCTCAACAAAACGGTGGCCATAGGAACTCCTAGATAGGCCTGGTCGTTCCTAGGACACAGTAGCTGCATTCCGGTTCAAAGGCTGGACCACCCGAAGGAAAATAGAGAAATAGCCCAATGACTTGCCCACTCGAACATTTTCAAATGGCCTTCCTAAATTTCAGTTTTTAAGAACTCAACTTATTAAACCTGTCCCTTAATCACATTTATAAATGGGGGATAGGGCAGTTTTTACATGTCCCTAGGGAACCACCTATTTGAGTCAGAATGCCACCTATTCTGCCTAGTTTGAAAATGTTCATCACCGTGTTTGCTTTGGACTCAACTTTTTTCTCTCTCTCTGACTTCAGTTCCTCTTCGGTCCACTTTTGGTGAAGAAAAGAAATTTCACCTTTTGCCATGTGAAAATATTTTCTATTCCCATTGGTGATGAGGAAATAAATAGAAGCCCAGAACCTGTCTGAAGTATTTATTAGATTTCTTTCCATTTACTATTAGCTTGTTTTTATTTATATATGTTATTTATCTATTTCACTAATACTATATTTTAACTGTACAGAGCATAAAAAGGCACAATGATACTAGGAAACTTTCCATATAAGCTCAACTGGTGTATATTGATAGAAAAGTTAGATATGCCCATTCTATTTCTTGTTAATTTAGGTGCCAAAGTAACAGGGTCTTTAAATAAATTCATTAGCGAAATAATTGTACTGCAGATTATTGTTCAAAATATGTCATTATATATATTTGTTTTCAGGGGGCAGCTGGCTGGTATGGGGATCCGAACCTGTGACCTTGGTGTTACCAGTACCATGCTCTCCCAAGTGAGCAAACTAGCGAGCCCTATTGTTGTGTTCTTAAGTAAATAAAAGAGGTGAGGCACATATTTCTTTCGAGAATCAAGTCAATTCCCCTAAAGACTGGGTCGATCCTATTCACTTTTCCCACATACTTGGGTAAACATTGGCTGACATCTGGAGGGAGATAGCCCACAATGGGACTTACACCTGGTTCCTGATAACGGAACATCTACAGAGCACCAAATACACCAGAACTTAATGAGATGTAATTAGTATCAACCAGCCAGGCCCAGAAAAGAGCCAGAGGTGGGGCAGAACTTCACACGGTGTCTCAAGCCTTACTGTGCAAAAACATTACTTGGGGTGGCTACCAAAAGGATAGATTCTTAGGCCTCATACCAGAATATTTTAATACTCTAGGTCCAGTGGGCCTGGGAACCTGTTTTTTTAGACGTACTATAGGTGATTCAGACACAGGTAGTATGCAGATTTTCCTTTAAGAAACCCGGACATAGAGGCATCCTGAAATGATCACATCTTTTTCTAGACCCTTTACAATTTTAAACCATTTGATCATATCCGTTCTCATCTTTATTCGTCTGCTAAGGGCTGCCATAACAAAATACCAGATTTTCCTTTAAGAAACCCGGACATAGAGGCATCCTGAAATGATCACATCTTTTTCTAGGCCCTTTACAATTTTAAACCATTTGATCATATCCGTTCTCATCTTTATTCGTCTGCTAAGGGCTGCCATAACAAAATACCACAGACTGGGTGGCTTAAACAACAGAAACTTATTTTCTCACAGCTCTGGAAGCCTAAGTCAGAGATCAAGTTGTCAGCAGGTTTGGTTTCTTCTGAAGCTTGTCCCCTTGGCTTGCATGTGACCACCTTCTCACTGGGTATTCACATGGTCGTCTCTCTATATGTGCATGTGTTTGGTCTCTCTTTCATTCTCTCGCTCTGTTGTAATCTCTTCTTATGAGGATACCAGTCAGATTGGATTAGGGTCTACCCTAATGGCCCCATTTTAACTTAATTTCCTCTTTAAAGGTTCTCTGTCCAAAACCAGTCACATTCTAAGGTACTGGGGGTTAGGCCTTCAACATATGAATTTTGGGGGTATGCAATTCAGCCATAAAATCAACCTACTTTTTATACTGCAGAATTCTACCATTTCAGTAGCACCTCCTGGAAAGGAGGCCCTAATCTTGATCGTTTCAGTTATTCTCCTATTGACTAACTCCAACCTCATTAGACTTTTTCTTGAAGCTCAGCAAACAGTACAACACATTTTGTTCCTGGTATAGATATGTCCTGGTTTTATGCCAAGGATGTAGGATGGGGGTTTATCTTCTTAACTTTCTGACCACAGCAGCACATTCAGTTTTAAGATAATTTAGCACCTATAATAGATAAGAAACTGTGTTTGGGCTAAATTCTTCAGGGAACAATTTCAGATCGTGCTTATATTTATTTCTTGTATTTCAAAGTTTATTTTAGTTATACATTTTGTATTCTTTTGCCTTATGTATAATACCTTCCTCTTGCCTATACTGCAACTTTTTTGTCCTGCCACCTTTCAACCACTTAGGCAAGCCCTTGAGATTTTTCTGTAGTGTATTTTTACTGTAACAAAGGTAGAGAGATGTATAAATGCTATCCGTAAAGGGAAGGTTGAGATGGCCAATTCTTTAGGGTGAATCCATTTGTAGAAAGCAAGGATCTTCTTCAATGACTAATTACCTTCCAGTTCTCTATCCTGCAACCTTAGAGCCATCTTACCAAAACACAAACACGAAGTCCAGAACTTCAGAGCCTTCATGTACACCCCAATAGGGAAAAAAGAGAAACAAATTGACCCCACCCTATAGTCACAGGCGTTTTAGTTTCTGTTTCAAAAGCCCACAGTTGAACCATAGAAGATGGTCCTTTTGAAAGAGAAATAGGACTTCTTACATTAGCTATAGTCTCCAGACATTTGGAAATAATCTAACCACTACACCTTAGAAGGTTTAATTCCACCCGTCTGGTCCACATACATGCAACAAATTAGGTTATAACTAGGGAGGGGCTCCCCTGAGCAGAAGAATCCCCATGGGCCCTCTCTTTTTCCTAGTGGCAATTATAAAAACATTTCACCTACCCATGCCGGTGCACTAATGTTCCAATGAACTATTTCCTCTCTAAGGGAAAACCCAACCAGCAGTTTTGTAGATGTGTAATGACTTGGCACAGGTCCCACATCACTAGGAAACAGTTGCAAGGTAGAAATCAGTAGTCCAAGACAGTCATGCATTCTGACTGTCGGCTGTAACTGTAGGAGAATGTTTTCTCCTATATTAGTATCAGTAATCATTTTATATAAAATGTACGAAGGCTTATAACCTTAGCATTTTTTTAGACAAGGTGGATCAAATCATCAAGACTTGACTGCAATCTTCTTTAAGCCATTTCAGCAACTCTTCAGTAAGAGGGTTGGCCCTAAATGATATTGTGAAGTAAACAATTCTGTCTCCTCTGTGCCCCTCTCCTGTTCAGCTAATTTCCCTTCTCCTCCTAAAACTAAAATTATCCCTAGTTTCCAAAGGGCCCTGAAGACTCCAGGTAAGACCTTCCCTCCCCTCCAACACACCCCTTGCCCCCGCCACCACCACCCCTCAGCAGAAAACGCTCTAAGCTAGAACCTTCCTCCTCACCAATCCAACTT